GTAGGATTTATGAGATTGTCTTTTGATTTTCTCGGTGTTATGTGTCTTGAAGCGGACACATTAATCGTACGGCTCATTTAATTATAATATTTTAAACTTATATTTTGAGATTTTTGTACAATCTAGGGCTCCATAGTTATATTTATACGAGTTATGTTAGGTGATTGATTTTTGATATGTATAAGCATTAGAATTATAGATATAATGGAATTAAGAAGTGTTGATTAATTAGTTTGTAATATTATAAATTGGATATGATATGATAATTAGATTTCTAGAGATTTGATAACTATGATATAGATATTTGAGATTTGCTTAAGTCAAAGTGGGTCTCATGACTCCCTTGATTCTCACACCGATCATGACCCGCTTCGAGGGTCATGACATATGCATTTTAGATTGTTTATGGATGTTAGCTAAACTTACATATATGTTACTCTCTATTAAAAGCTATTGTTCACGCATTTTGCACTTTGAAATATCTAATATTGTTGCTTGTATTAAAGTAATTAGAAAAGAAAATAGAATAATAAAATATTTTATTGAAATAAAAAACATAACTTCAAACAACCAATAAATAAAAAAATTATAATAAATATCATGTATGTTGACATTGGTGCCAAAACCAACTATACATATTCGAAAAAAAAATATTGATTTTTTTATATAAATAGCTTTGATTTTCTTTTTATCCTCTAAATTTTAATTGGATTATCCATATGTTGCAAATGATTAGTTGTATTGTGAATTAAGATCGTTGATAAATCACTCATCATTGATTTAGGAGCCTAATAGTCATGAAAGACTATAAAAAACCAAATTATGAATTCATTATGCTACTTATATACAATTGTGAAAGTTTTGCATTTTACTCATTTCAATTGTTGATTAAATGCAAATTCTAGACTTGTTTATAGGTTTTTTTTCAAAAACATGTGCTACCTAAATTCTACCCGATAAAGGTTAAACCACTAAAGTAAAGGTCTATCTTTATCATATGAGTTCAATTTATGTTTCACAAAAAAGTTAATCCTCACAATGAATTGTTTATTGAATCATGATATGGTTTTCTATTTCAATTTTTTGTAATAACTCGTCCTAAAATAATATTTAAGTTAGTAATTTGAAAAAAAAATCGAGCTAGGTATAAAAACAAGATAACTCTGTTGTCCCTCTCTATTTTCTTTCTTTCCCCCTCTTTCTCACACAATTCTCTTTAAATTTCCTTCCAATTTCCACCTTCAAATCTTAAGTTAAATCCTTGTTGAATTAAGTTAGAAAGACAATAAATAAGTTAATTGCGAGCTTGAAAAGCTTACGGAGTTGGGATATAAATTGGGATTGAAGAGCAAATTATTAAAACTAAGAAATTTAGATCTTTAAATTGGAGTGCTTATATATAGTTATTGATGGTTTTGAAGTTATATTGCATTAGGTTTGTTGTTTGAATAAAGAATTGAGTTAGATTAATTTTAAGGTTTTTAAAACCCATTTGGGGCAAAATTGATTAAGTTATTATAAGTAATTAAATGGTATTTAATTGTTTTGGGTACGTGATTTATGAAGTTGAATTGAGTAAATTGGGTTAATTTGAGAGGTTGAAGATGATGAATAGTAAAAACCCGAAATTGGATTTTGAATTGAAAAGAATTTGAGAAAAATAAAGAATTAAGTTATATAAATATAATTAAAGATGAATGGAATGAGTATTGAGTGAATTAGAATGACACCGATGATCTAATTGAAAAATAATTGTTTAAAGGGTTGGATTAAATTTGAGAAAAGATGGTATGTGTAAAGGTTGATTGAATTGGAAATTGATGATGGATAATTGAAATTGATGATGGGTAATTGGAATGTCGAAAAATGATTATAGAGTGAATTTAGAATTAGTTAGGCAATTGTTTATAATCGATTGAGAGAGTAAAAATTTAGTTAAAGTTATCGGTTTAAGTCTTCCAATCAATTTTCATTCTTATAAATAATCTTGTATTCCTAATTCTAGAATAATTCATTTGTTTTGAATTCTTCTTTAATATGTGATATTGATGATTATTCCACGATCTTGTGTTATTATATTCGTCGGAGCGGGCGAATCCATCACAACAAGCTTAATTCGGTAGATCATTTGTTTGTACTATGAATGGATATTATATAGCATGTTATGCTTTTAAATTCCTTGATATTTTTGCCATGCATCATTGATTTATCTATGATTTAAGCACATTCCTTAGAACTTAGGTGGGAACGGACACTTGTGTGTTTAAAACAATTTCATATCGAAAGTGATTTGATATGATTTTAAAAGGGATTTGAACATATGTTTGAACGAGTGTTTTGTTAATGGTTGGTATAAAGTTACGGATTTAAATGTTAATTAACTTTAGACTATTATTTTGATTATTCACATAATTTTTTTGTTAATGTTTATTTTATATTGAATTGCATTATCAACTTGATTTTGAGCATGCATTATGTTTGATATACTAGATTTGAGTGTTTTAAAATATGTATAAGCTAATCTGGTTTTTGATATGATTTCATTACCCAGGTTACCTAGCTACGGGGCGTAGCTTTTGAGCTTAATGATACGAGGCTCCGGCTAGCGGGAGAGGTATAGTGCTAGTCCGTGTGTTGGTTAACATCTAAAAACCTAATCATGGGAGGCGTGACCTCTAGGTATTCACATCCAATGATACATTATGTTTTACCCCGGGGTGATTAAAACTTAGATTTGTGGTTTGATTTGATTTGGTTATGATATACACACGCGCGCGCACACACACACATACGTGTTTCGATAATTTGATATAAATTGGTTTTAAACCATCTAAGTTACGATATATGATGTGGTATTTATGATATACATTTGTTTTGGAGAAACAAGCATTGCATCTTGAGTTGAATTTTAAGTTATCGTCCTTAATTTGTTTCCTTTCCTTATTATGTTATATAGTATCTACTTAATGAGTTATTGATTTGCTCACGCTTCACGATTTTAGTTTTGAAAGTTTGTGAGAGTGTCATTTCGACTTCCTCTCGGCTACTTGTCTTGAAGTTGGCACATTGATCGTGCGGTTTATTTACTTGTAATCTCTTAGAACCTATGTTTGAGTTTATTATAATTCTTAGAAGCTTTATAGTTATAACTTGTGGGAGTGTAATATAATTTGATTTTGAGTATTAATTTGATAAATGCAAGAATAATATTGAATTATGATATGTGTTAAAGATATAAAGTAATGAATATTAGGTTGAATTATTGTAAATTGAAATGATATTTGATGTGATATAAGATTCGAGGATTATAGTTTAGTTATTCGAGACTTTCTAGGACCGAGGTGGGCTTCTTAATTTTCGCACCGATCATGACCCACTCTTGGGGTCATGATAGTTTTTTTAAACCATAATAGACAAATTTGCTTATAATTTGTTGTAAAATTTTGAAACATATTGCAGGAAGAGAACTTCCCATGCTTGAGCTCAATAAAAGATTGTAAATTGGATGATGGGTGGTTGTATAAAGGCATAAGTTTTACATGTTTCATACATTAGTATATTAAAATGAACACCTCTTATTTTGATTTTTTGTGTTATTTCTTCAATGCTACTCTAAGTTATTTATAATTTACTTTTTACTCTAACGACCAATGACATAAGACATGCTATATTTTCTAACGCATTGTTCTTAGTGTAATTTGGGAGGCAAAACTAGTTTATAAGTGAAAAAAGAAAAAAAAATGGGAAAACAAAACTCACAATTCGACCCAAATAAGAGACAGCCTAGACTAAGAAAAACCCAACCTTACATTTTCTTCCCCTCTCCCAAACATTCCCTTAACTTCCTTTTTTATAAATGAAAAAATTATAAATGAGTCCTTTTAGTTTTGACAAAAGAATTAATTACTATCATTGATTCAATACGTTATTTATCTTATATTATTTTTTAATTTGTTTATTTAAATAAAAAAGAAAAAATACATATGTATTATGAAAGATTTATATAAAAAATATTTTTAAATAAAATAATATTAAATTAAATATGATATATATAAATTTAATAATTAGATTTTGAAATAAAATGGATTAATTAATTCATCTTTCGAAACTAAAAAACTAATTTATAACTCATTCCTGTGTAAACACATTTGTATCTAAACCCTAGAAGGAGCAGCACTGTTTAAAAAACACGGACAGATCTTCTTGTCTCCTCTCAGAAAACGCTAAACCTCCACCTGCACCGCATCAAAAACAAGCAATCCGTCGCCGCCGCTGCTACCCCAAAGCCCAGTTGATTTCACCTCTACCACTCCAAATAATCCCAGCCTGCATCGTCACCACTGATAAAAACCCGTAGCTTTCACATTTCCGGTGCCCGTCGATGCCAGCAACGATCAACGCTCCAGTCACCGCCATTTGAACGCTACCAACCAAAACTACAGCAACGCGCCACCCATCGCTGCACGTTAACTAATCATTTGTGACATCACCCCAGCAGTACTGGTGAAGGTCTACTACTCCATTTTATTTCTTTTTCTATTACGGTTTGCTGTTGTTTGGACCATTTGTGTATTCGATTTTTTTTAAAAAAACAAAGCTGTTATATGGTTTTTGTCCTTCGCTGAAGAATTGGAGATTAATAAAGGAAACAAAGGGTTTGCTGGGGTCACAGTTTTTTCTTATCACAAGGGTGAAGGTTGTCGGTTTTCTTGTTCTTGTCAGATTGGTTTGTTCTGGTTTTGAAACCACAGTGTCCTGTTTCTGGTTGCTTATGTATCACCCGTAGTAAACATGATAAAGAGGGGTTTTATTGGTTTATAGCAAAGATTATCTAGAAGTTTGTTTTTCTTTATCATTTTTGCTTGAGAGCAAAGATTAACTGGAGTTTTTTTTTATTTGTCCATTCATGATCAGTATAGTCACGGTTAGACATAAATAAGTGGGGGTTTTTTTCATTTGGTAAACCTTTTGGTTTGTGAAGAAGGCAAAGAGGATAGAAAATGATGTCTCTTAATCTTGACTCTGCAGAATTGAGCTGTGAACCATTTTGGTATATTGTCATGGGAACTGAAGTGCCAAAAGATCCATTCAAGGGGGTTGACTGGAAGGCCATAGGTGGTGAATTGCAGAAGGATCCAAGTGCTGGCGCTAAACCAATTATAAAGAAGCGGCTCCCGAAAAGATTAGGCAAATTCCAGACTACTATTTCCTTCCTCGAATGTCTCTGCCTTCTGCCATTGCATTCTATGGATCGTGTATTGCAGGTGGAATTGGTGCCGGCATGCTGTTGGAGATGTGGATAAACAAGAAAGTCAAAGGTGATATTGCACTTAGACTCGTAATTTAGGTTTCTTAATTATGCTTGGGTAAATACTGCTCTTGATTGCTTGTATACAGACATCTTACCTATTAGATTCAAAGAGATAAGAAAGTGCAAAACGAAAAGATATGGTAATAGCTAGCAATTCCAAGGCATAATATAGTTGAGATTTATGGTCTCATTCATGAATGAATGTGACCCAAATGGTTGTTGCTAGAATGATATTGATTTGTTATTTTTTTTTTATATTAACAGGTTGTGTTAACAATGACTCTTCGTGGAATTCTGAAGAGAACCTTAAATTTTTTAAATTGATGTCTTTTGTCTTTGTTAACTAAGGTTTCAGTAAAGATCATGTCCAAAAACATGAGAAATATTTGGATTGTGAAGGTTGTGTCTCTATCCTATACTACATCTGCACTTTCATCAGAGCCTTTGTCTAATATATTTTTGTGTCTCTACCTTATATTACATCTGCAGTTTCATCAGAGCTTTTGTCTAATATATGTTTGTTCTGATGCTTTAGAGGATGGAGGCATCATATGGGAGTTTGATAAATAGAGCCTGGAAAGCATTAGATCAGTTCCAAATCAGCAATGGCTGCCCTTTACTTGCTGTTTTTTCTCAAGCTATTTGATGGTACTAATGCTGCAAAGGAAACTAGTTGGATTTAAGCATGCAGGTTGCAGGCTTGGTATCTGTGCAGTAAATTCTAATTTGTTTTTCAAGACAGTCTCTTAATTCGGCTATTGCTAATAACTAGAGTTTGGGAATCCACTTTGTAGTTTATCTTTGATTGTTTGGGAATAATTGAGTTTAGTGCTCCTATTGAAGCAGCATGTATCACGGCTGGAAGGCCACAAGTGCAAAACGAGTGATAGAGCTGGTAGAGCAGCGTGAATCCATAGATGGATGGCCTGAGCATTATGATGGTTAAACACCTAAGACTCGCAGATATGTTGGGAAGGAAGCGAGGAAATAGCAGACCTGGAGTATCCTGGCTATTAGAAATTAACAAACAACCATTAAAAGAAAACCTTCAGTTACTTTGTGTTTTACTATAGGCACTTTTACTTCAAATATGTGGATTCATACTCATTTACACTGTACAATTCCACTATTTATTCAAAAGATTCATTTTGGTCCTCTGAATTTAGGAATTTTTTGGTCTAAAACTTCATTTATTTTTCATTCTGATCCTTGGATGCTTAGAAGAAAGAGGAATCAAGAAAGAGAGATAGGAGGGGGAGAGAGAAGGTTGGTGAGGTTTATTTCGGCCACCTTGATGGTTGGAATTATCTTTAATTTGTTTATTTTCAAGAGCATAATTTTTTTTATAGTAGAGTTAGAGGAGGTAGATTGGGATTATAAATTTTTTTGAGGTTTTTAATAGTGATTTGAATTTTGATGTGTTTCATTTATCAAACGTGCTTTGAGACATAGAGTTTATGGATTTTATTTTTGTGTTTTTGAGCAAAAATAAGCTATACTTGGGTTGAAAAGGCCGAAAACTTCTTTTTTTTTTTCCCCTTCTGGTTAGCCAGAGTTGCTTTGAAATTGGTGGACGATGACATGTTGTCTGCTCTATTTGGAGAGGATGACATAAGCATCGGGTTGTGGTTTAGTTGGTTTTTTTTTTTTTTTATAAGTTATTTTAATTTTTTATTGAGATTTTTATGCAAGAATTATTAAATATTGAATGTATTATGAACTAATTAATATCTATATGAATATTTATGTTTTTTCATATTTTTACTATTTATAATTTTTAATATGATTCAATTCACTATTCAATATGAGAAATTAAAAATGTGAAGCGATTGATTTAATAATTTATGTATTTTTAATGGTTAATAGTTTTTTTCAATTCTCATTTTAATCTTGAAGCCTATAAATAAGCTTGATTTTTAATTAATTTGTGTATAAGATTTTGTAGATATTAAGAGAAATGTTTGGAGTTGTTATTTTTTGTATTCACTTTATTTTATAGTGAATTTATTTTTCGTATTTTTTTCTTCAATTCTACTATAGTGGCTTTTTTTATAATGTGTTATCGGCATAAAGCTTCAACTAATTGAGATAATAGATCATGAGGTATGTGTGTTTCAATCATTGGATTTTTTCTATACAAGTGTTATATCAAAAAATTTAAATTATCTAGATAACTAAGAGGTACGTATCTAATTTATCATTTACTTTAAATCTAATGATATACAAAGTATATGTTTGAAAAACTTGAATGATTTAATGTATAAAATCTAAAGATCTAATGTATATTGTTTAAAAAGCTTTAATTTAATTATCATGTTTGTTTTTATTTTCTAGCCTTATTATTATATATTGCATTATAGAATTTTTATCATATCAAACTTCATAAACTTGATTTTGTGGCTCTTTTGATATTTCAAACAAACTTGATTTTGTGGCTTTTGATATTTCGAACAAGAATTGTTAATTATGAGTGTTTGATCCCGAGAAAATATTCTCTACTTTTTATGTTTCGAATATGCTCTTGTAGTAGCAATATCGAGAAAAAAATAAAACATATTCTAAATTGATCTTATGTTTTTGAACAAAATAACGAGTTAATGACAAAAAATCATGAATTTCGTCTAAATGGTTCTACTCTATTCTTTAAAACGAATATGATAACTTATGATAATTCTAGATATAAATGTAATCATGGTCATAACCATTATTATGGTTGGAATAATTATTGTATAATCGGGCTATTTATAATAATACATTTTACTACAAGAAGTGGATAAATTATAATAGTGACAATAATACACCTTATCATTAGATGTGGACAAACTATGGTGATCACAATAGTACATCTTACCACCAAAAGTGAACAAATTATAAAAAAATAAAAAATAAAAGTGGATTATGCCATCATTATGAAAATGAATGTTATTGGTATTGCATAAAGGGATATTGATCGTGTATCCGTCGTACGTCAAAGCACCTCGTTGAGCCTTATCAAGCAAGATTGAAAAGAACGAGTAAAATATAGAGGCTAATTTTATATATCAAAATGATGATAATTGAAATTAATAACTTGTTAACTTTTTTTATTTATAAATAAGATATATATTTTTTTTTATTGCATAGAGATAGATATAAATTTATTTTATTATTTATTTGTATTTATGAAGAATATATATATATATATTTTATGTTAATATTATATATGATAATATTAGTCTAATAGAAACCTCTAGAAAAACAATTATATTATTACTTGAAGAGACAAATTTGAAGGTTCTATTAAAGCAAATAAATTATTGCTTGAAAAGATAATTTTTAAAGACTCTAGAAGAGTAAATATATTATTACTTAAAGTGACAGAATTTAAAAACTTTACAAGGACAATTATATTATTATTTGAAAGAACATTTTTTTATTATAAATGATGCATTATTCTCTCTAAAATCTCATAAAAATTTGTTAATTTTCAAAAATATTTATCTAAATAGACATCGTATCAAGACAACAAATGTGAAAAATATTGAATTCTTGAATGTTATAATTACATCGGATAGAAAAAATGTATTGAGAAAATTATCCGTTTTCTCTTCTAGTTCTTTTATTACAAACATTAAAATAATTGAAACAAATGTTGTAGTGAACTAGAATTTTAGTAATTTAGATACTTTTATTATGTGGCATAACCGGTTATGTTATCTTTAGTCTTTCATAATCTGAAAAATTATTGAAAATTTATACGAACATCTATTGAAGAGCCATAAGATTCTTTAATTTAATGAATTTTCATATCTACATGTCCTCAAGGCAAATTGATTATTAAGTCATCATCAAGTAAAATCGAAATTGAATCTCCGGTATTTTTAGAACGTATTCAATGTGATATATGTGGATCAATTCATCTACCATGTAGATTATTTAGATATTTTATGGTTTTAATAAATGTACCTATAAAATGGTTACATATATGTTTATTTTCTATTCGAAACCCGACATTTTTTAGGTTACTAGCTCAAATAATTAATTACGAGCATAATTTTTAAGTATGTTATTAAAACAACTTACCTTGATAATACCGATGAATTTATCTCTTAAGTATTAAATGATTATTGATTGACTATTAGAATAAAGGTTGAATAGCTTGTTACTTATGTTCATACTCGAAAGATTTAGCATAATCATTTATTAAAATATTTTAATTGATAGCTAAATCATTATTTATAAAAACAAAACTCCCTATTTATAGTTGGGGATTGCATGTAGCAACACTTATTCATATCAAATTCATAAGTTCTTAGAAATTTTCATCCCTTTAATTAGTTAGTGATCATGAGCTAAATATTTCTCATTTTAGAATTTTTTATTATGCAGTATTTATCCTTAGTACCCTTCCATAATGAACTAAAATTGGCTATCAAAGGAAATTTGGAATATATGTTGGATTTGAATGTTTTTCGATAATTAAATATTTTGAACTATGAATAAGAGATATTTTTACAACTCGATTTATCGATTGTCATTTTGATGAAACAGTTTTTTCAACATTAGAGGAAAGAGAATAAGCAAAATAAGCGAGTTAAAAATATTTTTTTAAAAAAAAGATTGCATGAAGTACTCTATCTTTGTATCATCTTGATCATTGTACAAAACAATATGAGCTACAAGTTTAAAAGATAAATCATTTACAAGGTATTGCAAACCAACTGCTAAATGCATTCTCAAATCCTAAATGAGTAACTAAAATACATGTCTCCATTGAGAATGCTCATATTAGAATTGATGTCATAAAAGGACAATCTATTAATCTTATAAGCTACAAGTTTAAAAGATAAATCATTTACATGGTGTTGCAAACCAACTGCTAAATGCATTCTCAAATCCTAAATGAATAACTAAAATATATGTCTCCATTGAGAATGCTCCTATTAGAATTGATGTCCTACAAGAAAAATCTATTAATGTTATAGTAAATGAATCTAAAGCATGCTTGAAGTATGAAAAATCGATTGATTTCTAAAAAAATCCTCAAAAGAAAAGGACAAATACTCAAGATGAAAATATAAAGGATGCAAGTATTCATAAAATGGTCCAAGATACTTCTAATAATATGTTTTTAGAAGAAGTCCAAATGCTTGAGAAAAATCAAAAGACTTTGATAAGGTAGGTAGGGAGAAAATAGAATCGAAAAGAAACATTTATTGATAAAATTTTACATGCAAAGTTGCAATTGATAGTTTGAATGAAAATAAGGTCCCGAGCCTAAATTTATTGAACAATGTTGATATAGAAATGATTGGCCTAAATAAATAAAAAATACAGCTCGAATTATATTCTCTTACAAATAAGTAGTTTTTAAATTCATAATCAAAACACATGAAGATGCTAAGTTAGTGGGATAGAAATGAGTATCTTTACGAAAACGAAATAAGAAAGATGAGATTATGAGATACAAAGTAAGACTTGTAATACAAGGGTTTTTGTAAAGACTTGAAATTGACTATAAGAAGACATATTATCCTGTAATTGATACAATTATAATTTGTTATCTCGTTAGCCTAACAAAATATATGAAAAAATTCAAATTCATGCATTTAATGGATGTGATCACAACCTATTTGTTTACTTGAAATGATATCTATATGAAAGTTCTAAAAGGACTTAAGATGTTTGAAGCATGTAATACATATTCTTGAGAAATGAATTCAATTAAATTATAGAGATCTTTATAAGTATCACTTAAGTGTTTGTTTTATTACTTTAGGTTTTAGAAATTTGATCTATGCTATATTTTTTATATTTCATTTTTCAATGTGTACTCTTTATTACTAATCCGAATGGATATGGTATAATCATCTTAATAAATATTTGTTAAAAAAAAGTTAACAAAATGACCATTTTTGTTCATGCATTTTTATAAAAAAAAAATCAAAAAGGGATTTATGATAATCATTCTATATATTGACGATTTAAATATTATTAGAAATTCGAAGAGATTCTAACTACCAAAAGTTTTCTAAAAAAAAATTTGAAATGAAATACCTTAGGAAAACAAAATTTCATCTCGACTCGTAGTTTGAACACCTAGAGAATGATATTTTTAGTCATTAATCAATTTATATAGAAAAGATTCTATAATTATTCTATATAAAGATCATCCATTGACTAACCTAATAGTAATTCATTCATTTGACATCAAAAAATACCTTTTTCACCATCGAGAAGATAATGAAGAACTACTTAGTCCTAAAGTACCATGTCTCGGTACCATTGGTGCATTGATATATCTTGCTAATAATACTTGATATAATATAACTTTTTCTATAAATTTATTAGCAAGTTATAGTACTACTCCAATATGGAGCTATTAGAATGAAATTAAACATTTTCTATGTTATCTCCGAGGAAAAGATGATATGCTATTTATTTTACTTAAAAAATTAAAGTCAAGTTTAATTAGTTATGTAAATATAGGTTATTTATTTGATTCGGACAAAACTCGATCACAAATGGGTTATGTATTTATATTTAGTGATACAACTATATCATGACATTTTACTCCAATATAGAGACATTAGAATGAAATTAAACATTTTCTATGTTATCTCTAAGGAAAAGATGATATGCTATTTATTTTAGTTAAAAAAAATTAAAGTCAAGTTTAATTAGTTATGTAAATATAGGTTATTTATTTGATTCAAACAAAACTCGATCATAAATGGGTTATGTATTTACACTTGGTGGTACAACTATATAATGACATTTTATGGAACGAACTCGTAGATGCTAAATATTCAAATCATTTAGAAATACCAATTCATGAGATAAGTCGATAATGTATTTAGCTAAGATCATCGATCTATCATATCTCGTAGATATGCGGTTTATCTATCAGTAAAAAAGTTTCAACAATATTACATGAAGATAATGCTTGGTTTGCATAATTCAATTAAAGGAAACATACATTAAAGTGATAATCTAACGGACTTATTTGTTAAGGCATTACTTATCAAAATTTTTAAGAAAATGGTTCATAAGGTCGAGATACATCATTTTAAAGATGTTAAATGATGTTTTCAACAAGGAAGCCCAATATTGAGATTAATGTGTATAAGGAATGTTGTACTTTTTTCCTTTATAAGATTTTTTTGCTATTGGGTTTTTTTCTAGTAAGGTTTTAACGAAGCATGTTCCTTGTACGATGGACATTCAAGAAGAAGTGTTATGAAATAATGAATGTCCATATAAATGTTCATATGCTTTTCACATTTTCACTCCTCATAATTCTTAATGTGATTCAATTTACCATTGAATATGAGAAATTGAAAGGGTGATTCAATTGATTCAATAATTTATGTATTTTTAATGGTTCATATTTCTTTCCAACTCTCATCTTAATCTTGAAGCCTATAAATAGGTTTGATTGTTCGTTAGCTTACGTACAAGTATTTTGCGATGATTGAGAGAAATGTTTAGAGTTGTTATCTCTTCTATTCACTTTATTTTATAGTGAATTCATTTTTCTATCATCTTTCTCTTCAATCATACCATTATCGTCATTTCTTTTATAACATAATAATATTATTTTTTTATTTTTTCATGCCTTCGGATGAAATATATATGATATCTTTTTATAATTTAAAATAATCATACATTTTCTATTATATTACTTACTATTTAAAATTTATTCCTTTAATTTTTCATTTTTGATGAAAATTCCAATCTAATGAATTTTTTATTTTTATTTATTTTAAAATTTTTATTGGTTGATAAATTTGATTTATTTTCTCTATATACAGATTTTGAAATTTTTTTTAGAATATGATTTTTTTAAATATTATATAATTTATATCATGAATTTTTAGAATTTTAAAATGATGGTGACATAGTTATAAATATATGTTCAATGTAAAAGTTACGAGCATATTTTAGATAATTTATTTTTAATATTTTTTTATTTGTAATTTATACTTTCAACCTACTAAGTATAATCATGATATATAAAAAATATTATATTTTCGATTAAAATAATTTAAAAAATATTAAAAATTTTCAAATATAATTTTTTATACCAACATTATTGATTTTTTGTAAATAAATATATAAAAATTAAATTTATATATTTTTCAAAATAATCTTTTCATCAATATTAAATAAAAAATTATTTTTCCTTATATAATCTTATGAAAAGTATATTTTGATGGCATGTTTTTGAATTTTTGATAAAAGTTTCAATTTACTTTATTACAAGCTTTTATTTTAAAATCATTGCATCAAGAAAAATAAATCATGTTTTTTTAAGTTGAAAAAAATATGAAAAACACGAAGAATTAATTAAATACAAAATTTTAATTATATATATATATATACTACTTTTGATTAGATATGCTTTGATAGATCTTCAACATGACATGGATTATCAATTTGAAATAATTTTGTCCTGTTTGATTCGCAGTATAGGACGGGATTCAATTTGTTTGATTGCTAAAATGTTGGGAGAAAATCCTTCCAATATTCTTAGTATATCCCTTGAAGAGGACCGGAAGATTGCTAAGTTAAGGCTCAACTGCTATAACTTATCTTCCTTTTAATACATACCCCGAATTCCTTAGAATGATGGGAAAAAAAATCCAATTATTTTAAAAAAATTATGGAGTTTAATGGTTAAAATAATGGAATAATTAGATGTCGTATAGATTACGAATGCTTTACGAAATTTGTTTTATATCTATATGTACTTTATAAACGAGACAAGTGATAAGAAGAAAAAAAATTAGAGGTATCTTTCTATTTTTGGATGTCTTTATTGGATTATTCTTTTTAATGCGATAAAACGTTCTTATCGAAATAGCTATCTCGCCAATCCGATAGCATGGTCCCGATGAAAGATGTTAATAATCTAAACTTAAGTGTTTATTATTTCACAATGTTTGAATTTATTTCTATTCTTCACTACCTGTTTTTCAAAGTGAAATTAAATAGCTTTGAACTATGATTTTCTTTGGAGTTTTGGACATATTGAAACCTCATATAATTCAAATTTTTTTTATTGAGACCCTAAGTTTTTTTTTCTGTCTAATTTAAGAATTATACTTTTATATTATTATTTTTTGAGACCTTAATGTGTCACGTAAGCACACATAGCAAGTCGTTGGCAAGCTCTAGCCAATTACGACTTACCACGTGCCATGGTGGACCCAAATTGAATAATTGAATTGGTGACATGGCGGTAAAAAAATGCCACATGGCAGGTATTATCGGATACGTTAGCAAAATCAGGCTTCATGTGAACTTTGGCACCAAAGCAAACAAAAAATCAAAAATTAGGTAGTCAATGATTGGGCATTAAAACAGAAAAAAATTATAAGATTAGGCACCAAAAAAGCCTTTTTCTCGATAAAAAAATGTCCAACATTCATTGCTTTAGCTTATGAAAGCAAAATTTTATTTTTCTAGGTATTTTTGTAGTGGAAACTAATGGCAGAAACGAGAAAAAGATTGCATATGTGAAAGATAAAAAAACACTCTAGGTTTTGATGGATGTAGATTTTAAGAGATAAAATTGAAAACATGACCATCAATAATTGGTTGTAGAGATTATATTATCTCCACCTTAAAAAGGAAATCTAATGGCGAAGAAGAAAAATAAAAGTCAAACTACAAAGAATGAGCAACCGGATGGTCTAGAGGCGAGCAAGAAGGCAAAACAGTTCAACTAAGTGTCGGTCCACAGTGACCTTAAGGGAGTTCTACCACTGCACATACTCTATGGCTTATAGCTCATTTAAGTCGAGAAAGAGTTGTATTTATAGTCTCTCGTTAGTCGCTCACAAAAAATTGCCTCAATGGTGGTTCCTGTTGAGTTGCTCTAGATACAAGATAGATAGCACACAATTCAACAGAGGGACTCACTCCCCGAAGGGCAGTGGGTGTTAACTATAATTTAGTCCTTGTAGTTTTTTGAAACTAATTAACGAGCCCTTTTAGTATAAAATATATGGGAAAAATTAAGTAGATATAATACTATCTGTAACAAACCTTCTATTTATGCTCATTTAGGCAATTGATATTGAATTAGTCAAAATATGTTTCTATCTGTTTATTCATGCTTGGAGATCATGGGCTTATTTCCCTTCTATTGCAGCCTTCAATGTACGAAACTGCTCCTCTACTAAAAACAGTCATAAGTATGGGCTTGGCCCAATTAAGCGAACATCAGTTATTTGCGATTTTATGAATCATTTGGCAGATTGAAGAATAAAGGAGGGAGGGAATAAAAAGAGGTCTGGTGGATCATTGCGTTTCTCTTCCCAAAAGAAAGCAAGAAAGCCAGTGGTTCTGTTCTACTTATCGGAAGTTGCTTTTGATATTGTTTTGCTGTGGGTATTATATGCATGCATTAGGTGTGAACTTTTTGTCCTCCAGAATAAGGAATGCTGCTGTTATATATTTTCTTTATATTAATTAAGTGATGAGCAGATTTTGATTTTTTTAGATGAGTCAGTAGAGGAAAATAGATTGTTAATTCTAGAACACAAACGAAGAGCAAGCAATATGCTTAGACCAATATGAAATTTTGAATTCATGAACCAGTGATAAAAAAAAAAAAAAAATGAAGCGAGCCGTTAAGAGGCTGGTCAATGTTCAATGATGCTTTCTTTTTTACTTTTTTTTAAAAAATTATTCTTTTAAATATGATAATATTTACATTTAATAATTCGACTTATCGGAGCAAGTGATCCCGGAAAAGCAAATTTGAAAAAAAAAAAAAGGTCCAATATCCGTCTACCTTGCTAGTTATGGTGTTGGAGGAAGCTGAAGAGGCCACATCATCATCTCTAATGGTTCCAGAATCGATAGGAAATTCTTCCTTTCCCATGATTGCCTTCTGATTGCTATTTATATATAATTCAGCTACCGGTGGCGACGATTTTGTTTCGAAGACGAAGGAGAAGGCCAGAGTTGTTTCTGCCAGCTCATTGCACGTATACATATATTAAGGTATTTTTAGAACTTAGTTTCCTACAAAGGTTTCTTTTAAACTTGAAACATTAAATCAACAAACTTGAAACAATTAATGCCAAATAAGCAAAGAAATAATTATAATAAAACTGTAGAATAATTGTGGTAATATTGATAATTCAAATGGCATAGTTATTCTTAGCAAGAAAGCATAGTAAAATTCTTCCATCCACCTCCAAAGAAAGGTGTGAGGATTTTTGAAAGCTAATCAAAAGACTCGATTAGTAAATAGTTGGTCTTGTGAGTAAAAAAAATTATAAAATTTATTCATAATGAGTGAGGTCAGTATTTATAGTAAAATGAAAATAGTTCTTAAATATTAATATCATGTTACGTTATTTATATTTGGATGATTAAATTTGAATTCAAAAAAGTTTGGTTCTTTGAAGTTAAATTGTTTTGACTTATTGATAAATGTTAAAGAAAATAACAATTGACAAACTCTAATTTGGATTCGTTATGCCAATCTCTTCATACATCTTAAAGATAAGTCAAATATATTGGTTTTATCGAATACTTGTATCCATATTTACGATTTAAGATCTTGACATAAACGAAACTCATTCTCGATTCAATTCATTAATTCTTTAGCTAAATTACTTAATTAATTTTAAAATAACTTAAGCATATACAAAAGAAATCAAATAGAATTAAAAATCTTCATATACAAAAAGAAGTCAAATAAAATCATGGATCTTAATTAAAAAAAATAAAGAAACCGCAAACAAAGGCAAATGCGAGTGTGCTAATGACCTAATAGCATAGGCATATACAAATCCATGAAGCTAATTTCACCAAATTAAGGAGGCTAATCTAAACTTTTTCTACACATGTAGGGTGATGTTGTTCATGATAAGAAAGTGTCCGGTGTAGTACATGTGGTGGCTTTCAATATAATCAGTTCTAGTTAGCATTGCTATTACTATATCATTAAAAGAGGTGGGATGTTTGAACGAGTGAAAATCATTATTCACTCCTTACAAATCGTTATTCATTATTATAGCTAATGTTTTTTTTTATATATATAGTTGTTTAACAAGATTTAAAAGAAAAAGAATAACAAGATTTGATAGGAAGAGAAGAATGAAAGTCACGTGTTCTTTCTCTATTTTTGCACTATATATACAATGGTAACAAATTAACATTTGAAATCGACTAACTAACTGCATAAGCTAAAATTCTTTAACTAGCCTTGACGGTTAGAATAAGTAAATAAGAAATAAAAAAACGTGTGCAATACATGTGAATACCTCCCTCAACTCGGAGCATAAAGATCCGGAATGCCTAGCTTGGATAGTTGTAGAGTAAAGGGTGTAGGAGATAGGGGCTTGGTGAAACAATCGGTTAATTGTTTAGCTAAACGGATGGAAAGAAGATGAACAATCCCTCGCAAAAGCTTTTCCCTCACAATGTGGTAGTCAATCTCGATGTGCTTGGTCCTCTCATGGAAGATAGGATTTTTGGCTATATGGATGGCGGATTGGTTGTCACGATAAATGAGTGCCGAGTGAGGATAAGGTATATGAAGATCTTTCGGGAGATATAAGAGCCATTGTAGTTCATAAGTGATTGCAGCAAGGGTTTTATATTTGGCTTCGGATGAAGACTTGGAAACTTCATTTGTTTCTTGGATTTTCGGGATATGAGAGATGATCTAAGAAAGACACAAAATCCGAGTGACAAACCTTCTTATGTTAACACAAATACCCCAATCAGAATCAAAGAAACCCTTGAGCTGAATATGAGAATTGGAAGCAAAAAACGGACCTTAGCCGAGAGCACCCTTAAGATAACGAAGAATTCGATACGTTGCTGTAAGATGAGCTTGTGTTAGTTTGTCCAAAAATTGAGATAATTACTCGGATCGCATATGATATATCGGGTTTGGTGTTGGTTAGATAGAGTAATCGACCAATCAATCTTCTTTGGATAAAAATGTCGGAAAGAAGATTGTTATCCCCAAGCACTAAGCTTGACAAGTAGCTAACATATGACATGTAACAAGTTTTGCACCAATAAAACCTATATCTTGTAACAATTCCAAGGTATATTTTCTCTAGCATAAACTAATTTCATAAGAAGATCTTGCAACCTCAAGACTTAAGAAGAATTTCAAAATACCTAAATCCTTGATTTTAAAAGTGTCATGGAGAAAACACTTTACTACCGTAATTTCCCTCATGTCATTACTAGCCAAAATAGCATCATTAACACATATGAGTAATGGAATGAATGATGTGGATGTAGTTTTGATAAAGAGAGATAAATTAGAGGCACCCCGCAAAAAGCCTTTGGTAAAAAGAGCAAGTAAATAGTTTAGTATACCATTGTCTATCGGCTTGCTTAAGCCCATAGAGAGATTTCAACAACCTACGGACTTGATTTGATTTAGAACTCGAAACCTCAATGGCAAATTCATATACACTTCCTCGTTAAGGTCATCATAAAGGAAGGTATTATTAATGTCTAATTGGTGGAAGTGCCAATTGTTAATAGATGCAATTGCTAATAATGTGCGAATGGTAGTCATTTTAGCCACTAGAGAAAATGTATCCAAATAATCCACACCAACTCGCCGAGTATATCCATTAGCAACCAAACATGCTTTGTACCTTTCTAGGGATCTATCAACTTTATATATGATCTTATAGACCTATTTTCACCCAATACTCTATTTACTAAGGGATAGATCGGTGAGGTCCTAGGTATGATTGTTTTGTAAAGCCTTAATCTCTTCATCTATAACGACTTGCCAACAATCATGCTTACTGTCCGATGATAAATACGAGGCTTTATAGCGAGTAGAAATGCTAACACTAAAGGTTTTATGCGATAGTAAGCAATTAGAATAGGATAGAATAGAAGATACATGATGAAGGGTAGAACTTGTGTGAAGAAGAGAAGCACAACCAACGGAAGGCAAAGCTTGAGACAATTGAGTTTGTAAGGTACAATAATAATCTTGAAGATATGTAGGTGAATGTTTAGATTTAGTAGATTGTTTGAGAGGAATCGAAATGATTCGATGAAGTATTATTTGAAGAAAGAATAGGAATGGATGATGTAGGAGAAGTATTGGGATGTATGAAAATGTCTAATACATGTAATGAAGAAGGAACGAAGGAGTAAATGAATGAGAAATAGCTATGCAACTTGTTGGATAAAAACCAAGAAGAATGTTGAAAAGTACAAAATCTGAAAAAGAGTGAGAATGGGTAAAGAGACAAGCAAATGGAAAGATACGTTCATAAAAAATAACATCTCTAAACACTAGGATATTGCCATTGTATAGATTATATAACTTATAACCTTTTGTACTAGGAGAAAAACCCAAGAAGATACATTTGGAAGATCGTACATCAAATTTAGTTTTATGGGCAAGATTAGATGTAAAACAAAGGCAACCAAAAACTTTAAGGTTTGTATAAGTTGGAAGTTTGCCGAATAGAAGTTCAAAGGGTGTTTTATCATTCAGCATAGGAGTGGGAGTTTTATTAATCAAATGGACTATACGAATAATGCAATCTACCTAGAAAACAAGTGGCACGCTTGCTTGAAATCGAAACGCCCTAGCAATTGTCAAATATGTGTTGATGTTTTCTCTCAAAAATATTGTTTTGTTGAGGTGTTTTGACATAAGAGGTTTGATGTAGAATGCCTTTCAAAGCAAAGAAAGAAAGCATGTTAAATTCTTGACCATTATCTCGTTTTAAGGGTGAGAATTTTGGTAGAGAACCGAGTTTCAACAAAAGTGCAATAATTCTTAATGAGTTTTCTTGTTTTAAACTTATGTTTCATAAATAAAAAAAGCCATGTTGCTCTACTATAGTCATCATTGACATTAAGAAAATACTGATATTTAGATAAAAAAAAGGAGTTACCATAGGCCCTCATATATCAACATGAACAAGTTCAAAACATTTTTTAGAACAAGAAGAATCGATAGGAAAAAGAAGACGTTTTTATTTTGCATAATGGTAAGTATCATAACGTGTATTAGAGATGTTGACAAGAACATCTTTATAAAAGGAATTCAAAGTAGCTAGTCTAGAATTGAAAAGATGACCTAACTTATAATTCCATACATCAAAGGAGTTACTAACATTTAAGCTGGAAACAAAATGATGATCAACTAATGGGATTGGAGTTGTCAACCGATACAAGCCTTGTTTACGCTCAACCATACCAATCATTTTCTTCGTATGATGGTCATGTATAACACAAAAATAAAAAAAGAATAACAAAGAGCATCTAGAAATTTTGGTTAACCGACTTATTGAAATAAGATTGAAAGAAAAGCTAGGAACAAAAAAAGCATTATGTAAGATGAGTGTATCAAATATCTTAATTGTGCCAATATGTGTAACTATAACTTGTTAACCATTAGGTAATTTGACAAAAATATGAGAAACTAGAGTGTATGTATAAAATAATATTAAGGAGTAAACTATGTGGTCCGTAGCACCATTATCTAATATCTACAAAGTTTAACAAGGAATGACGGAATCACAAAAGGAACTATAAGTACTCGACATGGAGGAGAAATTACTAGACAAGGCATTAACATCAATGAAAATAGAGGATTGCAAGTGAGGTTGAATTAGAGCTAGAAGTTTAGAGTACTCGTTATTTAGTAAAAGAAGGTTGCATAGAACCAAAATCGCCGAAACTAGTAGAATGATTGCTAAAAAATACACTAACAAAGGGATTATCAACTTCATGTAACACATCATTACCATAAATCTCAACTTGATTAGCCAATCTATTAAATCTAACTTGAGATTTTTCGGATGATTTATAACCTAGTGGATATGCATGTTTCTTGTAGTAACTATCCATAGTTTGTCCTTGAAGGCCACAAAAAACACATTGAAGTTTGGATTTCCTATTGCCTTTGGAAACCGACTTACTCGACCGGAAAACCGCTTCTTCCGGAAGAACCAACTCGTCGAAGGAGAGAAACTTCTACCACCATGCTAAGAAATAGACTTATTGAAGAAAACAACACTAGGATTTATGTTACCGGTATTTCTTTATGCACCAAATCCTACATTCAATTATCTTTCGTGTTGAATGACCATACCAAAAACCTTGTTAATGGATAGAAGAGGATCCATTAACAATATTTGAGGCCTCGCGAGTTGCAAAATTAGAGTTTAAATCTTTCAAGAATATGATCACATAATCACGAGTTCTAAAAATTTCGATTCTCTTAAAAGCTTTACAACAACATTGAGGATTACAAGTGCATTGAGGTATGCTTCTTAGAGTTGAAAATTCATCCCACAATATTTTTAAATGAGTGAAGTATTGAGCAACGGGAAGTAAACCTTTATTATAGGAATATATCTCCTCTCAAAGCTTTGTAATTATGAAATAGTCACCATGGGAGAATTGATCACGCGGATCCGTCCAAACCTCAAATGCGGTGTCTAGCCAAATGACGCTTTATGCAATCTCGGGAGAAAAAGATCAAAGAAGCCAAGACAACACCATTGTGTTGCATCTCTCCTAGAGGCGAGATATAAAGGATCGGATTTGTTTAGAGCTTTAATGGTTCCATCAACGAACTGCAACTTAACTTTAGAGAGAAGCGACATCCTCATCGATCGATGCTAGGAATGATAATTAGAATCGGTAAGTGGAGGAGAAACCGGTATGAGAGAAAGATTCTCACTGGGATGAAGAAAATAAGGACTAAACATATATTCTTCAAGTCTCAAACTCTTAACATTTGAAAAGAATCAACAAAAGGTATAGCCATGGTGAATTGTAAAGATAAAAGAAAAATTGAGTGTTTGGTTTCTCGAAAGAAAAGCTGAAGAATAGAAAACACGAGAAAGAATTTGCTCGATACCATAACAAGGTTTGAGAGAAAAAAATAACAAGATTTGAGAGGAAGAGAAGAATGAAACTCTTCTCTACTTTTGCACTATATATACAACGGTAACAAACCGACATTTGAAACTAATTTGAAACCGACTAACTAACCGCGAAACTAAAATTCCTTAACTAGCCTTGACGGTTAGAATAAGTAAACAAGAAATAAAAAAGGTGTGTAATACACGTGTGTGAGAGATGTTAATATTGTTTCACTATGCATGCTTTTTCTTTTCTTTTCTTTTTCCCCATCAATTTAGGTTTTTTTTTTTAATTTTTTTAGGTTGTTTCATTTTTTGTCTATAAAATTTTAAAATAAAAATTTTAATCTTCTAGTTGATGCGAGTGCATATGCCTTTTTTTCTTTGTTTTTTTTTCCATCAATTTATGTTCATTTATTATTTAATTAGGTGTTAAAATTTTAAAAAATCAATCATTATTTTTTTCCACATAAACCGATGATTATATAATATATACGATATTTTTTTACATTTATGCGATATGGTTTTAGATTTTAGAATAAATATAAACTACTCTTATTGTTTAAAATTGATTTTTTTGATAAAAATTCTCATCAAGTTAGATTTTTATGCTTATTTTTTTAAATAATTTTATTTATTAACAAATATGATTTATTTTCTTTATGTATGGATTCAAATACGTTTTTTTTTATTTTTTTATATTTGCTTAATTCTTATATAATCAAAATTTAAAACTTGAATATATGTATTTTATTTTCTTATTTTTTTATATAATCAAATTTGATTGAAATCAGTTTTATGGTTTTTATTGCATTCTATTAACTTCAATATATATTTTACCATTTAATTTTTAAAAAATATTTTTTAATTTATGTTATACATCCTCACCTATTAAGTACGGACATGATGTATAAAAAGTAATAACTTTAGAGTCATTGATTTTATTAAAAATCAACTATGCATCTACACACACAATACCAACTATTTGTTATTATTATTTTTTAATATTTAAAATGATTCTTTTCAAGTAAAATAATTGAAATGATATTTTAGAATAACCACCTAATAATTCAAATACAATTTTCTATACTAATATTATTCATTATTTTGTAAATAAATAAATATAAATCAAATGTATATATTTTAAAAAATAATCTTCTCATCGATAAAAAAGTTTCATTTGTTAATTTTCATACAAGTTTTCATATTAATTGTTCCTTTATTTCTTCGATGCAATGTAATGAAAAAATATGAAGATATTTTTTTTAAAAAATTTATATTAAAATGTGTTTATTATGGGTTTTTATTTAAGAATAAATGCATAAGAAAGAACAAATGATGTTTTTTTTACTTCAAAATTTAATCAAAACACACACACACACAAAAAAAAATTTTGATTAAAAATTATAAAATTAGATGAAGTTTTATCTTTTATATTTAATTTAATATATTTTAATTAACCAACAATATAGTATATGTTATCAAACTGAAATAAATATATTTAGTTCGGTCCGTAACATAATTCGAGAATCTAAACTATTCATATGTTTAAAATTCCTATTCACTTATTGCTCTTGTGCTTAAAATTACTATCCACTTGATGACAATTAAGGCAATTACTATCCAAAAAATTTTTTTGGGCATTAATATGCAAATTTAACATTTTTTTTATCCCTCATGTTGTAACATTTTTTTTCAATCCTTAATTTTCATTTTTCTTTCATTTTCATGCAGCATTTGTGTGTGTGTGTGTGTACATATACTATCTTTTCATATTTTAAAATTAATATATACTTCAGTTTATATTACTTTTATTATTTAAATTGCATTCTTTGAATGTATCATTTTTTTTTAATGAAAATTCTCATCCAATTAATATTTTTATATAAAATTTTATTTACTGATAAATATAATTTCTTTTTCTCTATGCTTGAATTTTAGAATAAAATTTTAAAATATGATTTTTTTCTTTTTTTTAAAAAATAAATAAATTGGTATAGTATATATCATGAATTCTTAAAATTTTTACATGATAGATGTGTATATATAAATATATAATTATTTTATTCTAAAATATTAAAAATGTATTTCAAATAATTTGTCTCAATTCACTAGGTATGGTCAAGGCGTATAAAAAAAAACTATTAAATTGTTGATTTTATTAAAAATCAACTATACATCTTTCAACATAATACAAATTATTTACTATGAATATTGTTTTTAACATTATAGAAACAATTTATTTGAAATAAAATAATTAAAATAATTTTTTAAAGGAATCATCTAATTATTCAAATAGAGTTTTTTATGTTAATTTTATTGATAATTTTGTAAATAAATATATATAGATCTAATGCATATACTTGAAAAAAAAATCTTTTCACCAACATTAAATAAGAATAAAATTTTAATTTTTCATTGGTTAATTTTTATGGAAGTCTATACATTAATTGTACCTTTATTTTTTTGATATATTCTTATAAAAAAAATATAATTTTAAAGTATTTTTTTAATTCTTAATTAATATTTTGGGTTTAAATTATTATAAGTTTTTATTTAAGAATCACTGAATAAAAAAGAATAAATCATATTTTTTTAAGATGAAATTTTATGAAAAAAATAAATAAAAATTAGATAAAAAAATTAATGAAAAATTATAAAATTTTTAAATGATTTTGTTCTATCTATCCGTAACGTTGTGCGAGATAATTTCAAAAATTAATCTTTTCCTTAGCATTAAATAAGAATTTTTTTTTATTTGCTAGTTTTTGTAAAAGTTTGTCCAATAATTATAACTTCATTTTTTGAAATAAAATATTATGAAAATTATATTTTTTAATATTTTTTAATTCTTGATAAATATTTTAGTTAAAATTATTTCTTTTTTTTTTTAAATTTTAAAATCAATCGATAAAAAATGATTTACGTTTTTTTTAAACAGAAAATTTATAGAAAACATTAAAAGAGTTAATTAAATAAAAAATTATAACTAAAAGTCGGATTTGCAGCGTACCACGAGCAAACAACTAGTCTATAACTATTTCTAGTTGGTTAATTTTGGCTCTATCATGTTGAGGGGAACGTGGGTATTTTCGTTACATTATTAAGAAGTCAATCATTTACCACAAGCATCGATTTAAATTCCAACACAAGCATGCTGTGTTTTATTTTTGAAGGAATCATCGTATGCTATTGCTAGTGAAATACATAACCACTTAAAATAAATAAATCTGACTCGGGCATTTCATCCAGCATCTAATATAGAATTTAAGTACGATAAAGGATAGATCTATCTATATAACAATAAATCTTGACGCAGAAAAAGGTGATTGTTGAAAAATGTAAAGGTCTATTATCAACATTAAAACAAGAATAGATTCTTGTTATTGAAAGAGAAATAACCTAATAGCTTATCTCATAACATGAATATGACATGCGCTGTCAAAGAAAATCTTTCCATACATTTAAGTTTGTATTTTGGATGCAAAGAGAATAAGAGATTTTTTTTTTTTTAAATACGATTGTTTAAAATCTATATTACTAAAATATGATTGTTTTAAATTTATTTTTCAAAAGCTCCATCTCAGCCATTTTTATACATTTTTTTTTGTCTTACTATACTAATAAAACTCTAATTAAAACTAAAATATTATTTCACGAATAATTAAACCAATTTTAAACTCAGAAATTGAAATCTACCATTCTGATTGAGGAAGTGAGTGTTTGCGATAAGTTTGGCACGGGAACTGTTTAATCTCTTTCTGTATCTTTTCTTCTTTCTTGCCTTGTTCTTTCATGCAAAAAAAATCTGAATGGATTGATCTAATATTGTTCTTGCATGACATGGATTTTGGCATTGGTGAATTTGGTTTAAATCCAATAAAAACAGGATTGTCACATGTAGATAACATGTTCCCAGGGAGAAGCCCATATATGTTTGATTTTGTTCCGAGCACCCAAGCTCATAACCAGGGGAACAACTCTTATGCATTTGTAAATTTTGTTCCAAGCACCCCTGCGCATAACCAAGGGAAGAGCTCCTATGCTTTTGCAGATTCTGTTCTAAGCACTTGAAACAAAAGTGAAATAGTCACTCTCGATTCATAAATTGGAAGGCTAAAGTGCTCAACTGGTTAAGCAGCCAAGCAGGCATGGTGTTTAGAGAAAGGAGCATCCAGCGTTGACGCCAACAAAAGTGAAATTGGGATTTCAAATAACGTCGTTCTCAATTCCTTGTTCTATCTCCTCTGTTTTTCAAAATGCGCAGAGATCTAGATGCAGATCATGTGGGCCTCGTGTTTGGATCAGGATTTAATTAGGATCTGTGTGAGGTTTTTTTTTAAGCAATTAAGAAAAAATGACGTAAATAAAAAAAATTTGATGTGGTAAAAAAATAGCCTTATTTAAGAATTAAGTTTAAAAATACATTATTTAAGAAATAAAGAATTAAAAATATATTGATTTAGGAAAAAAACTCAAGAGAATAAGGCGCCCAAAAAAAAAAGGCTTAAATAAGTCCTTTTAACTTTCCATGATAAAACAAATTTCTTTTTAGTTTCTAAATAAAAAAAATTGTTTATGACTTTTATTTCCGCATTGCATCTACTATTTGCAATTATAAATTATAAATAAAACTAAAATAAAATAATTAATTTTACTATTCATTTACTATTTAAAATACTATTCATCAACTCATTTTACTATTTATACATATTTACTATTCATCAACTCGTTTTACTAGTTACACATATTTAAAAGTGTTATTTCTTTTATTATGCAGCAATTTTGTACATGAAAGTATCATTGTTGCAGGATTTTATTGATTCTGTTCACTTGATTGGACATCGCATGTACTTGACCATTGTCAAGAAAAAAGACGTAATGTGAACAAAAATTTATAACTACATATTATAGAATGAAGTATTTTAAATTTTTTGATTGATTGTTATATTCTTAATGCAATAGTAATCTTATAACATGTCTCTAATATTTATATGTAAATTTCAAATCACTACTAATTAAGGAAAAAAAAAAACAACGTTGGAGAAATTCTAAAAAAAAATTATTAAACCTAAAAATATGTTTTTTTTAGTAACCACATAAAAGTCTAAATAACATAAAATAAGATTTACAAATCACTCCTAAATTATATAGTACATTATTAGCACTTTATTTTGCATATTGAAAACTCTAAAAACACTTAAGAAAAAACCCAAAAACGTCAATAATATTAAAATCCAAGAATAATAAAGCTAAATCAAAGTTTATCAAATTATTGAATTGGATCTTTTTCTTATATATATAGGAATTTTTTTGTTATTTTATTATATTACTTTTACTCCTTTGGACATGATGAGTCATAAAATTTGTATAAGTTCCTTTGACAAATTTTTCTAATTAAAAAAATTATTAAAATAAAGGTTCATAACTTCTTTTTTTATACGTGCATATACTTTTAAGTTGTATTTACATTACTTACAATTAAAAAACTCTGTCAAATCATTTTTTAAATTAATGCCATGTTATTGTACTCAAAGTCAGTAGGACCCCAAACACAACATATGTTCATATAAAAGCAAGTTACATATTTATACAACAGCAATAGATTTTATTTGAACAAATTACTCCTTTCAAAAAAATAATTTAGAAAGATTAATTTAATGACAATAATTAATCATGGTAAAAAAATACACAATAATTTTGTTATATTAAAGTTTAAGTATTAGTGTTGGACATCGAATGGTTTATAAACTTTTATTTTTCAAATTGTTAATTTACAAGATTTTTTCAATTATATACATAGATATTTACTAAATATATGTAATAAAAATCATATGTTGAAAACAATATTAGATTATTTGTGATCTCTGCGATACTAATATTTATTACATATAAGTGATCCCAACATATTATATATGTATTCTAATAGTTTGATCATTCTTATTATATATGTATTCTTATTTTCATCATATAATTTAAGGTAACTTTAATTGCAAAATGAAATAAAAAAATAATGTTTAATTCAAACAACTATCCATTTACATTATAATAGATAATGAAACTCTTTTTCTCTTTTTATTTTTTATATTTTTACAAGAAAGACCTGGATTTTTTTTTTCATAACAACATATGATAAGAAAAATATATTTTCAATATTTAACTATGCTGCTAAGAATTTGGTGCAATTTTTTTGGTGATTATTATTTTTAAGAGATATAATTATAAATAGGCACGCGCATGCATATACCCACCACCCCCCCCTCCAAACACGCACAACACATATCATAACTGCTAATTATTATATGTCAATATTTTTCATTTTGATGTAATTAAAATTTATTTATATTTTAAAAAAATCAAACAAATTTTAAAGATTTATATAAAACTATTTGGATTGAAAAAAAAAAAACTTTTCAGTTTAATAAAAGCTAAAATTTTTGAGTTAAAGCATGAAAACCTCTATCAATTTTTTTTTAGCTTATTGTGTCATTCGGTTAAGTAGCACACTAACCATGTCTAGTGATGGACATGCGATATTTAATAAAATTGGAATTCGAATTTTTTTTTTGTTTACCTTTACCTTCAAACAAATAATAATAATAATAATAATAATAATAATAATTTGAACATGTTTTAATTTTTTTCAATATTTTTTTATTTTAAATTCAAAATTTGATAGGTCCCGATCTGATCGAGGGTTATATGTCCACCACTAACCATGGTTAGTATACTACTTAATAATAAAACATAATAAGTTAAGAAAATAATCACAATAATAATAGAGGACTATAAGGAACCAAATCGACATAGTACATAAACATTTTCATGCTTCAACTCTTAAAATATTAGCTACAAATAATTCAAAGTACTATATTAAATATTATAAAAAGTGCTAAAAAATAGTTGAAGAATATACTCGCAGTGCACATTAAAAAAAAAAAAAAGGTTTTTGCATGTCAATTATTATGGTGGTAAGGCAACGAGTAGAAAGATAACAATTGAAATTAAAAGCTGAGAAACTAAATTGAAATTAATTAAATAATTTTTTTCCTACATAAATTAAGTTGAATGGAAACAAAAGTTTCAACATATTTTCTCTAACCTCGTTTCAAATTTAAAAATTACATCTTCTTTATCGTATAGGAATAAAATATGACATGCGTTGCATCTTAATTTGCTATCCAGCTTTTGGGCACAAGTTTTTTCATGTTTTTTTTTTTTAAATTACGACATATCTTTAATCATAATCATGAAGTATAGGGTAAATTTGATTAAGAAAATAGTGAGACTAGAGAGCCCATCTTAAGAAAATGTAAACAATAGAGGGACTTAAATGATAAATAGCACAAAATTTGCTTCGCGATTCCATAATAAAAAAGACGCCAAATTGTAAAAATTGGAAAAGTTCAGACGCTTAAATATCCCTGTCCATAGTGAGAGAGAAATAACATAACCAACCTCAAAAACATAATCGATCAATCAAAGGTACGATTCTCTCTCGCTCTTGCTAGGGTTTTCCCCCTCTTTACACTGAACTGATACTCGGATTCTTAATCCAATCCAATTCTACAATTTTTAGATTTCTAGTGTTTAGGTGACTGTGTTGTTTAGAATGGATATGGACTGGTCTGAATCTAGGCATGAGCGACGCGACGAGAGGGATGATGTGGACGACGAGGAATTGGCGGTGAATGGAGTTGAAAAATCGAGTAAGCATACTAGGAAGAAGAGCAGCAGAGGAGAGGAGAGGGAGAGGGATCACAGGAGTAAAGACAGGGAACGATCGAAGAAAACCAGCGATAATGATGTTGCTAAAGATAGGAGTAGGGATAGTAAGGCGAAGGATAAAGAATATGATCGAGAGAAGTCTAGAGAGAAGGATAAGGATAGGAAAGATCGAGGGAGGGAAAAGGAAAGGGAGAGAGAGAGAGAGAAGGAGAAGAGCAGGGACAGGGAGAAGGAAAAGGAAAGAGAAAGAGTGAAGGAGAAGGAGAAGCATAAGGGTAGAGAGAAGGACAGGGAAAATGATAAAGAGAGGGACAGGGGAAGAGAGAAGACCAAGGAGAGAGAGAGAGATAGGGAAGTGGATCAAGATAAAGAGAGGTCCAGAGAGAAGGACAGGGCAAGCAGAAAAAGCAATGAGGAAGATTATGATAGGAGCAGGGATGACAAGGTTCAGACGGATTATGACGATGAAGTGGACAGGGATACTCGAAAGCAAGGGAAGGTTTCTTTTCGTGATGAAGATGAGCAAAGTGCTGAAGGTGCATCAGGTGGAGCACACACATCTGCCTTGGAACTCGAGCAACGCATTTTGACGTAAGTGAATCACCGTCAATGCTCTCTTTTTATGGTTTAATTTTTTTCCTTTCTAATTTGGATAGTTTTTGTTCTTTTGAGTTTAATTTGATGAAGTTATGCTTGCTGTGGAGATTTATTTTTTACGACTACATTTATTGTGAGCTGTGGCCAGTCTAACTTAGATTTTTGTTGTTCGCAAGAGTTATCCTTCCTGGTGTTTCATGTGTAATGCCGATGTTAGGTGCTTCTGATTGCTTCACCTGATTGCTTCACATATAGTTCTTGATATCACTAAGGAAGAGAGTTTCTATCATTTTTCTAACATACATTTCTTCTCATAATAAAATGATCATGCAGTTTATTTTGTGCATACAGGCCTAGTAAAATTGAATGCGACATCCGATAATGTCATGTATTCCATAGTCATGCTCCCTTGCGTTGCTCGTAATGGCTACTTTGTTGATCTCTAATGGTATGGTGATTAGTGAGGCACACTGGTAATGGGTGGGCCAATCGCAATACTATGCTGCTCTAGTGTGATCTATAATTTTCTGAATATGGATGATGGTTTTCTTCATATCCACTGTGGCTTTGTGCAATCAAAATATAAATTTGTGTTTTGTTATTACTTGTTGCTAATTGGGATTTTCCTGCTTTTGCTTTTTCATTGGGGTCCTCCAATGCTGAATTAGGGTTAACTTTTGTTACATTTCTTAACATCATTTTCTTGATTTTGATGATGTTCTTATTTTTCTGATATTCTTTAATTTATAAGTTCATCCGGTTCGATGTTATTGTTAGGTTCTATTTATCTTGCATTGTTTTTATTTGATCAGGATGAAGGAAGAAAGAACAAAGAAAAAGTCTGATGCTGCTTCTGATGTTTTAGCATGGGTCGGTAGGAGTCGTAAGATTGAGGAGAACAAGAATGCTGCGAAGGAGAGAGCCAAGCATCTCTCAAAGATTTTTGAGGAGCAGGTTCCATTCTTGACCTTGTTTCCTGTATTATGACTTGCTATTATGATTTATTCCATGCAATTTTGGTTGTTGATACCACAGTATAAATTTTCTCAGGACAATATTGGTCAAGGAGATAGTGAAGATGAGGAAGCAGACCAGCAAAATGCTCGTATGACCCTTTCTCTCTCTCTCTCTCTATTCATAACTAGTCATTTAAAAACATGTCTAGAAAAGCCAATACATTTGTTTCAACTTGTAGTTTTCATAATCATCTGAATTTCATCAGATCAAACGAGTTGGGGCATGGTCTTATCTGTTTGCTCATCAAAAATTTATTGAGAAATGAGATATGCAAACTCCATCCTAGGACATCTAACAGCTAGCCACATTCTTATAACCCACTAGTTTAATTTCTTGGAATTGTAATCGACTAGTCTAAGGTCATATTCATGGAAGCCAAATCATAATTATTTATTTTGGAAATTTTAAGGGCCATATGTTTCTGGCAGATTGAATCAGTTATATTTTAGTAAGGAGTTATGGCTTACACTGTCAGATTGATTTATTTTTGTGATGGGGCCTTTTAATAGATAATCTAGCTGGAATCAAGGTTCTTCATGGGATTGACAAGGTACTTGAAGGTGGAGCAGTTGTTTTGACACTCAAAGATCAGAATATACTTGCAGATGGTGACATCAATGAAGGTATAAATATTTTGGTGTTTCCTTCATATATTTTATGTCCGAATTTCCTTAAATGACGGAGCATTTTTGTGTAACAGAGGTTTTTGGTCTGATGTGGCAGAGGTTGATATGCTCGAAAATGTGGAAATTGGAGAGCAGAAGCGACGGGAGGAGGCTTATAAAGCTTCTAAGAAAAAGACAGGGATCTATGATGACAAGTAAGCTGCTATTACAAGAATAAGTTCTACCATAATTTTAAATTTTATAAAATTGCTAACTACTTTGAGATGTCCTAACATTTTAGGTTCAACGACGATCCTGCTTCAGAGAAGAAAATGCTTCCCCAATATGATGATTCCACTGTAGATGAGGTTAGATTTTTTTCCCTATTTCCCATTTTCTCCTGTCCGTAGTGTGATTTTTGAATTATTAGCAAAAAATGATCATCATCTACTGGTGATTATTGCCAGGGTGTAACTCTTGATGAAAGGGGACGCTTCGCTGGTGAAGCAGAGAAAAAGCTGGAAGAGGTAGGCTGGATCATTTTTTAGAATAGATTGAAAAGATATATGTGGTTTATGTTAGCATAATTTCCGACGAAGGGACCATTTATTATTCTTTTTTTTTCTTTTGTAATATTTCCAGCTTCGCAGAAGGCTACAAGGTACTTCCACAAGCACTCGCTTAGAAGATCTAAACTCATCTGGAAAGTTCTCATCAGATTACTATACTCATGAAGAGATGCTTCAGTTTAAAAAGCCAAAGAAAAAGAAATCTTTGCGAAAGAAGGATAAGCTAGATATAGATGCCCTTGAAGCAGAAGCTGTGTCGGCAGGGTTGGGTATTGGAGATCTTGGTTCTAGGAAAGATGGGAGAAGGCAGGCCATTAGAGAGGAACAAGAGAGATCTGAGGCTGAAATGAGAAACAGCGCTTATAAATCAGCTTATGCTAAAGCAGACGAGGCATCAAAATCACTGCGACTAGAGCAAACTCTTCAAACTAAAGTGGAGGAAGAGGAAAATCTAGTATTTGCAGATGACAATGAGGATCTTTACAAGTCATTAGAAAGAGCGAGGAAACTAGCTCTTAAAAAGCAAGAGGTGGAAGCATCTGGTCCTCAAGCGATTGCTCACCTTGCCACCACAACTTTGAGCAATCAAATTGCAGATGATCAAAACCCTGAAACTGGAGTGTCAAAAGAAAACAAACTTGTCTTCACTGAGATGGAAGAGTTTGTCTCGGCTATCCAGCTTGCTGAAGGTATTTTTTCTTAGTGTGTTTTTTCATTTCATAAAATATTACCAAAAAAAAAGAAGAAAAGAAGAGTTCTGATGAGACAGAAATCTATGTTGCCTTGGGATTGCTACATAATAATAGTATGCAGACCAGAAAATCTTGCATATACTATGTTGAGATTTATGGCTATTCAAGGTTTTATGCTAGCTCTCGACTTTGTATTATCTGGTAAATCAAGATTGCTAGCTATCATAGTTCTGTGAGGAATGCTGACTTGCTGCTGCTTTAGTCACGTATAATGGGATCCTCTCCCATCCATTATATTGCATTATGATTGTCAAATGTGGATTTGACCCATTGTGATGCTTGAGATGGGCTGGAAATCCTATATGTTCTGCTTTATTTTGCACATACTGTATATCTTAGTGACTGATTTTTCACTTGTCATTAATTTTTGATACCTGAAGTAAAATTACCATTGCTTGTATTAGAAAATTTAACATGTTGCTTTTGCTATTTCAGAGGCTCATATGCCTGACAATGAAGATGTTTTTATGGATGAAGATGAACCACCAAGAGCTTCTGATGAAGAACAAATGGACGAGGCTGGTGGATGGATGGAAGTTCAAGAGAGCGGTAAAGATGAAAACCCTGTCAATGAGGATAAGGAGGAGATAGTTCCTGATGACACCATACACGAGGTTGCTGTTGGGAAAGGATTATCTGGTGCTCTGAAGTTACTCAAAGAGCGAGGTACACTTAAAGAAAGTATTGAATGGGGTGGCAGAAATATGGACAAGAAAAAGAGCAAGCTTGTTGGCATTGTAGACAATGATGTTGATACTAATAATGATAATAAGTTCAAGGATATCCGCATTGAGAGGACAGATGAATTTGGGCGAATTGTAAGCACTTCACTTGATCATTCGATTACTGTTTTACTTATTGTTGTTGTGTTAGAATTCATTAATTTTATTGCATCTTCTTTCTTACCGTTATGCACCTGGTGTGGAGATGGGACCTCCATATGAGCAGGTCCAATGAAGGAGAGTTTGTAGGCCATATTTCTATGGAATATAATGATCTGTTGATTAATTCATTGAAGGCTTGGAGTGACCATTTTATTAGCCTACCCTGTAGTCATTAGAAGATGTTGGGCTTATGCCATGGAATTTGTCCCTCATGAGCCTCTGGGTGCCAATCAGTACAGTGGCACTGGTTTGAGGTGTGTTTCAGAGCTGTTACTGCACGGTTGTTTTTTTTTTCCCTCCCTTCTGGGAGGGGGATTCGGGTTAATTGCTTTAGAGATTGTAGACAAGAGGACTGCTTGTTTCATAAACTCACCTGTTTAGATGTCCAAAATGCAAAGAAGTGAAAGATTTGGTAATGCATCTTAGTCAAAAACTTGTAGTGGCCTTGTACACTTGTGGAGTTTCTCTGAGGTAGCGTGCCTCAGTCCTACCATCTACTTTCTATGTGTGAACATGTGTGGCTGATGTAGCTTGCGGTAAAGGTTTTGATTTGCTGACTGATTATCTAGCAATTTGTTTACTATTTTAGCTGTGTTTCCTTATGTTTAACAGATGACTCCAAAGGAAGCCTTTCGTATGATTTCTCATAAATTCCATGGGAAGGGGCCTGGCAAAATGAAGCTAGAAAAGCGAATGAAACAATACCACGAAGAATTGAAATTGAAGCAAATGAAAAATTCAGATACACCATCACTGTCTGTGGAGCGGATGAGGGAAGCTCAAGCTCAATTAAAGACGCCCTACCTTGTCCTCAGTGGTCATGTTAAACCAGGGTAAGATTTACGTGTTCCATTTTATGTCTCAAATATAAGTTGTTACTAATGAAAGCTGAGGAAAATAGTTTGAAGAAGAAAAATGTTAATCATCAAGAAAAATGTTTTTTGTTGATATATAATGCAGCTTTAGTAGGCTTTCAATTGAGTCTTTATTATTAATTTTCATTTTGCTGTGATAAGTTCATAGGCTTGAAAAGATATCTCACTATGCATTTGGTTCAAATATACTTAAACCACTGTATTTTTGTTGAATTCTTGGTTTGCATCATTGCTAGTTTTAAAAAGTGAAGGATTATGCAGTATCATTTGTTCTGCATTTATCTTTCTGTATGACTCTCACTACAATTGGCTTGTTCACCCTTTATGAATTTCATTTGCAGACAAACCAGTGATCCTAGAAGTGGCTTCGCAACTGTTGAGAAGGATCTCCCAGGAGGCTTAACACCCATGCTCGGTGATAAAAAGGTGAGTCAGAGTTTTATATTAGTTTATGCTGGCATCATTAGAATGATATTCAAAAAGTATGCTTCACGCATGTATGTGTTGTGGATGCATCATGCTAGTTGCAAAAACCACCTGATTTCCTGTAGAATTTGTAGTGATTGCGATTTGCAGCCTTGTGGAGAGCTGTTGGATATGAATACTAAATATTAGTACTAGACATATTAGTTCCTTTGGAAATTTTCAAGTCTCATACGTTGTTTCACTTTTTAGGAATTTTTGTCCTTTCTGGCAGTACCATTAACCTTTACCCAGATCCTATCATCACAGTGGTTGCCAAGCAGGACCACTACTCATTTCCTGCATTATCAATTCTCCTCTCTCTCTCTCTCTCTCTCTCTCTCTCACACACACACACACACACACACACACACACACACACACACACACTATCAACGAAAGGAAATGAAAACTGCATGTGGGGACAAATGAATACATGTGTGTTGGGAATTTTTTCTCATACCCGTTGTAATGCAATAATGAGTACTACGATTTGCTTTAGAAGCATGCATGCTCCAAGGAGTCATTCTTCTCTTCTTCATTCTCTGCCGCACAACTTCTGCCATTGCTGTGTTGTTTCTCAACGTTAATTGAACCAAAAATGTTATTAATCCCAAATGTTTTCCTGGCTACCACTGACCCAGTTTCTTAAATTAATCCATAAATTCCTACATTTCTTGCTTCCTAAAATCTCCTGAAACCAAAATCTCTGATTCCAGCAAGCAAACAGCTGCTTTTATGTCCTTAAATTCCCACATTTTCTTGCTTGCTTAGAACTTCAATTTAATCCATGATCTTAGCTCATTCACTGTGTCTCCAGTGTTACTATGTCCGAACCCTCTGCTAAGGCTAATTTTCCTACGGCAGTATGGATGTTCCTATTTCAAGAAAAGATTTTACATCGATAAGAAAGTTTTGCACTCAGGTTCGTCACATTATGTTGAGTGTCTTGTTTTAGAATGGTTCTGGATCTGCTACTTGCGCTGTTAGAGCCACATACAATCTATAACTCTCACCAACTTGTTTTTTTACCTTCCTTCCCTTAGGTTAAAGAGTTTGCTGACTATAGCACGCATTTTTGTTGCATAAGGTCTGCCTGCTAATATGTTGCTTTGCATTTTTCCTCCCAGGTCGAGCACTTCTTGGGAATAAAGCGCAAGCCTGAGACTGGGAATTCCGGTGCATCAAAGAAGCCTAAAATTTGAGCGTAGTAGAAATTGTCAGCTGGCATACATATACTAACGAACTCAAAAGACATCCAGAAAAATTGCAGCAATTGATTTTCTTTTGACCCTAAATGGGCAACATTCCGATGGGGCTATTTTTCTATTTACTTTGGTACGGTATGTAAATTTTTTTTACTAATGACCGAGTTATTGTCAGATTTTGTAAGGATGAATTTGAATGCTTGATGGAGAATATAAATGTAGATTCTCACACATGGTTATTATGCTTAGGTAGAGTATGCTGCTTTTGTCCGTCACTGAAATTCCAGATGCAAAATGTTTTCCTTTGCCCGTTATATCATCATTGACTAGTTAGATTTGCAAGTATAATTGACGCAGCAAGAAGACAAATAAACAAGCCTATGTTACTGAATCGTGAAACAAAGGATAGGAGAAACTAGTTTTTCCCCTTGTTATGCTGTGGATCGAAAAAAAAAAAAGAAGGTAAAATTATTTTAGTTTGAAGGTTTGTTTTATAGTTTGAATCTATCAAAATATAATAATTATTTTCTATTAAAATTATGCATTTGACTAATTATTCATTGTGTTTTTTTAAAAAAATTTTACGAAAAAATCAAGATTTATTCTTATTTATTTGAGTCTTAACTAAAATTTTTTGATAATTTAAAAATAAAATCTAAAACTCCATGGATTTATAACTAAAAGTTTACTTTGTAAATTATTTTTTTTCAAAAAATCTAATACAAATTCTCTAAAAATATTTTAATGTTTAGATTATATATATATGTTACTATAATTTAAAAATTCTAAGAGTACATCATAAATTATATCATTTTTTTTAAAATAATCATGTTGTAAAATTTTATTTAAAAATCCATGCATAGAGAATAATAAATCATGTTTATCAATAAATAATATTTAAATAAAATAAAAATTAATTTGATGAAAATCTTAATAAAAAATGAAAAATTGAAGAAATAAATTTTTAAACAACAATAATAATATAATCTAAAATATATGTTTATTTTAAAATATAAAAACATATCATATAGATATATTTAATTCATAGAGTAGATGAGAATATAGTAATAGATATATTTATTTTATACACTAGATGTAAATATAACGATAGATAAATTGTAAATCAATCCCTTTTGTTTTGAGAAATGAATTAATTAATCCTTTTGATATCAAAAAATAATTATTTAATCTTTTTAGTTAGATTAATTTTCAAAAATGTCTTCTTTGCTCATCAATCCTTTCCATATTTTTATCTATTTTTTTTTAATTTCTTAAAACAAAAAGTCAAAAAAAATTGAAAAATGGCAAGGATAAAAATTAGTTTTTGAAATCAAATGGACTATTAATTTGTTTCCCTATGAAAGAGGGACTAATTTATAATTTACTCTTGAAGCTCTTCTCCTCTCACGAAAATATGGAGAAAAAAATGCAATCACAAGAGTGTTAAATGCTTCATCAAGAAAAGAAAAGAGAAGGAAATGACCAAAATAGGCTAAAAGAGAATTAAAAAAGAGAGTAAGTGAATGACAAATGTGGATTTTCATAAATTCACTAGGTGATAATAAGAGTAATTAAAAACAAAAGATAAGGCCATTTATAATGCAAATGAAAAAGAAGAAAGGAAATGATGGAAAAAGGATAGGGAAGAAAATTAAAAAGGGAATCAAGTAAAGGACAAATATAGATTTTCACAAATCCAATGAGTGGAACTAAGAGTAATTAAGAAAAAAAAAAGAGGTTGTTCATAATGCAAAAGGAAAAAAAAATAAAAAGCTCGTCCATTAAATAATTGGGTGAGAATGAAAAGTCTAGCAACAATGAAATCACCATGTGTTTTAATTTCTTTTGTAATAATTCCTTGGTTTGAAACTCCAAAACAGAGGGCGAAAAAACTCTAAATTTATATCGCATTCAAAGCCAAAAGAAAAATAAATTCCGTATAAGCCTCGCAATACTTAACTCAAATAGAAATAGATTTTTTTTTTAAATCATCATTTTGCTCTTTGTATTTATCAATTTAATACCCCTCGTCGGTCCCCTCCCTCGAAGAAAACTCGTCCACGCGTTAATTTGCACATCCGGATACAAAGGTTCCTCCGAAGAATGAAATGGATAGATTACTCGCTACATTAAAAGTTTCGTAAATTCCTATTGTATTCGATAGATCCAATATAAGCATTATTGTTGATCTTCTTTAATATCCGGGAAAGTGCCATACTTCTTAGGTCAGTAGCTTGTTATTAGTCCCTATTGGAAACCTCTCTTTACACGTAAACACCATCACTTGATCTCCCGCTTCTAAAACTTGTCTCTCGCGATGTTTATTAACTTTTGTCTTATATTTAGCATTAGCCTATCGCACCTCCGTCTCGCATATCTTGTCATTAGTTATCTAATTTTTCTATAGCTACACTAACTCCAAAACTTGAGGTAGCTTGATCAAATCAAAAGCACACTCGTAATGGCTTGATGTACATAATAGAAAAAATGAGATTTTTCCCGTAAGCATTATGGACAACACCGTTATAGGCAAATTATGCTTCGTGCTAAAGCTCGAATCCCATTGCTTTGGTCTATCCCCATAAATACTATGAATCAAGTGGTCGAGGGTTCCGTTTATCAATTCGGCTTGTTCACCTGGTCGTGGGTGAGCCGTGTTGCTAAAATTGAGTGAGGAGTCAAATAGCTTCCATAATGTCTTATAACTTTTTGTCCCTATTAGAAGTAATGGTCTTAGTTATACCATGTAGAAGCATAACTTCTTTGAAAAACAATTTAGCTACCCCATTAACATCCGAAGTCTTCTTGTAAGTGGATAAAATGCATCATTTTTTAGAACTTGTCAACAATCATAAAAATTGAATTCATACCTCTTTGTGCCCGGAGCCGAGCAAGTACAAAATTATTAGAAAGGTCTTCCTAAATGTTCTCTAGAATAGGTAAAGGCATATAACAACCTAGTATTTTAGTATTGCCCTTTTACTGGTTTGACACACATAGCACCTTTGCACAATTCCGGACACATCCCTCCTCAAATGTGGCCAACAAAACCTTTCCCTTATCGTAACAATGGTCTTGTCACGACCAAAGTGAATTGCAAGACCTCCCCTCAAGGATCAATTTTTCCCTTAAGAAAGTTTTAAGAATACATAGTTGATTTTCTTGCATGAGGAAACCGTCATAAATGTAGAAATCATCGGCAAATTGATTAGTAATGCACTTTTTCCATAAACTACCAAAGTCTTTGTTTGGTTCATACAAACTCATCTCCTTTTCAAATCTCATAATGTCTTGCTTTATAACCACCATCAACTTTACATGTCCGCTCAAGGCATTAATAGCCTTATTTTGTACTCTTGTCTTATGTTTCAAGTCGAATGTGAATTTTTATAAGAACTAAGACCATTTGGCATGCATGTATCTCCCAACTCGTTTCGACTATTTAAGTATTTTAAAGCATCATGATTTGAATATAATATGAACTCCCAACTAATCAAATAATGCTCCTAATTCTTCTAGGCACGCACAATAGAGTAGAATTCTTTATCATACATTGCCTATTTTTTCCATGCATCACTTTTTACCGAAATAAGCCACTAGCCTTTTCTTTTGAGACATAACAACTCTTATTCCCACGTCACTAGCATCTCATTCAACTTCAAACAAAGCTTCAAAGTCTAGTAAGGCTAAAACGGATGTAGTACACAACTTCTCATTTAACATAGCAAAATTGGTTGTGGCTTTTTCACTTTAATGGAATTTACCCTTTTTTAGACATTCCGTAATAGGGGCCACAATGCTACTAAAATTTTTAATAAACCACTTACGGAATGTTGTTAATATATGAAAGCTCCTAACTTTAGCTATTGTTTTAGGAATAAGCCATTCTCTAATAGCTCGAATCTTTTGTTCATTTATTTAGATAGCATCCGCTCCCACTATATAGCCTAAAAATAATAGTTGGTCTATTATGAAATTGTACTTCTTCAAATTAATATATAATTTATTCTCTTGTAAAATCATTAAAACTTCTCACAAATGTGAAATATGCTCATCTTCCGACTACCTAAAAAATCAAGATATCATCGAAGTAAACTATCACAAATTTACCAATGAAAGGTTTTAGTAACCGATTTATCATCCTTATAAAGGTGGTTGAAGCATCGATCAAATCGAACAACATTACCAACTATTCGTAAAGCCCTTACTTAATTTTGAAAGCTATGTTCCATTCATCCTCGAGTCCGATTTGAATTTGATTGTAACCATTTCGAAGATCAATCTCTAAAAACACCTTTGCATCATATAGTATGTTAAGCATGTCATCTAGTCTTAGAACTAAAAACTTGTATCCCATTTTAATCTTGTTAATAGCTCGATTATTAATACGGATTCTTCAACTTCTATCTTTCTTTAGTGTTAATAAAGTCGACATTGCATATGGAATCATGCTATCTTGGATTTTCCCTTTTCATAAAAATTCTTCTACCTTTTCCCTCAAAATCTCACTCTTTTTGGGCTCATATGGTTATGGGGAAGATTTGGTAAACTAGCCCAAAGAACAAAATCAATATGGTGCTCGAATGTCCCTTATAACGGGTAAATGCACCGGTAATTCTTCCGGGATAATCTCTTTGAATTCTTTTAACAATGTTTTGATAGTTTTTAGACATGCTATAATCTCTCTCTCTCCTTCAACTATTGACTCTTGTTTTATAATTAAAACATGAACTTGCTTAAGCTCTCCGACCTTGTCTTTCATCTCTTGCTATGAATAAATAAAGGTAAGAAAAGTCCTTCCCTCCACTTTAGAAGCTTTGGTTTTGGAACTCCCCGTCATAGTTAATAGAGTAAACTTTTTTAATTCTTTCTCCAACCTATATATATTTTCCCTCCCATCATGTTGTGTAGAAACATCAAATTGCCATGGCTTACTAAATAAAAAGTGACATACATCCATATCCATTACATTAAAATATATTTCATCTTTGTATTTA